AAAAAAAAAAAAAAAGAGAAAATAAATCTATATTTGCTTTTCAGTCACAATTTCCGTATTTAAAAAGGAGGAAAAAGCTGTTCTGACCTAAACCATCTGTATACACCGACCAAAAACAATTCCAAAATTCTATAAATCTATTTGATATTATATAATTGATCCTGGTCAAGAACTTGCCTATGGAATTACAACAGCTCTAAATGGTATTTTCTGATGTCAGGTTGAACCATTTCCTTTCCCAAGGCAGAGCAGAAGGTTCCATCATTTAATCATTCCCAGCACTTAGGATCAGACAAGTAAGGCAAGTTGCAAGGTCTGCATTAATATCAACACTCCAGCGACCTCTCACACCCCATGGCACAGTGAGAACTCAATTTTACATTAATAAACCCTAACACCAAACTGTTAGAAACTCAGAAGACACCAGGTATTACAGCTCCCATAAATTACAGCCGAGCTCAAATGGCCCGTACGAGCAATTGTACAGTGATAAAGCCTAAGTGGATGATATTTAAACAGATATTTGATTTACTGCAGAATTTTACATCATGCTGGAATTCAAACGACAATTTACAAGTCTGGAGACCAGAAATCCCTGTCCCATGCAAAGTGCTGCTTGCAGTGCTCTGTCAGAAGAGCTGGATGCTGAATCCTCCCCACTGATGGGCTCAGGGCACAGAAGGAAAATGATAAAACTGAACACTGAAAAAGAGAATGAAGCAAGCTGCTGCTTCATCCCCAGGTAGGAAATGACATCCTTGGTCTCCTCACAGTGATGGCTCACAAATCTCACTTCTGCAAGGCAGCTGCCTGTGGTTCCTGGCACCACAAGAACTTCTGCTGGCAAACTGGGGGTCTGTCTGTCAGGGTCTTCAGAGATGCACAAACTGTGAAGACTGGAGAGCAGACAGACCCACCTCTTTAGGGACATCAGCACCACCAAAATCATGGAATTGCAAAAGCCCTCCAAGACCCCTGAGTCCAACCTGTCACTGACCCCAGCCCAGAGCACTGAGTGCCACATCCAGGAGATCCGTGGACACCTCCAGGGATGAGCACTCCAAATCTCCCTGGGTAGTTCCAATACCTGAGCACCCTTTCCATGGGGAAATTCCTGCTGATTTCCACCCTGAGCTCCCCTGGCCCAGCCTGAGGCTGTTCCCTCTCCTCCTGTCCCTGTTCCCTGGAGCACAGCCCGACACCCCCGGCCGTCCCCTCCTGGCAGGAAAATTTCCTCATTGAAAGGAGGATCAGGCACTGGCACAGGGTGACCAGGGAAAGGGTGGAACACTTCCATCATCCCTGGAAGTGTTCAAAAAATGTTTGGATTTGGCACTTAGGAACAGGGATTTGGGGTGGGCTTGACAGTGCTGGGTTAAGCGTTGGACTTGATGATATTTGAGGGCTTCTCCAACTGTAAAAATGTTGTGATTTTATGCAAATAGCAGCTGGATTTATAGAGGAGGAATTGTGGGATGTACAATTGAGAGGAGAACTTTAACACTCAAACAGGTCACAAATGGCTCCCCTGAGACCAGAAACCCTCCTGTTCCCCAGCAAAGAGCAACTACAGATAATTCTGGGTGATAAAAGAAAAAAAAACAAAACAAAACAAAACCCAAAACATCAAGGAGGAGATTTATCAGAGGAAAAAACATCACAGGCTTCCAGTGGGATCCAGGAAAACCTCTGGGCCAATAGCTGGAGCAGCAGTAATTGTTCCAAATCTATCAATAAAGCTGAGCTGCTCCTTCATTGACTGCAAACACCAATTTCTTTCATGGGGGATTATAAGTTGATGTTCATGGTCTCTCTACCACCATTAGGGTGATAAACAGTTGAAACTACATCAGGATGTGACACGAAGATCAATTCTGGGTCCATAAAGAATCTACACAAGAGGTTCCTGGACAGGGATTTACTGCCCCCAGTTTTTATTCTCCCTTGCTGCTAAAATTACTTCTGTCAAGCACTTACAAGAGTACGGAGGAGAAGGGGGGAAAAGAAAGGGGAAAAAAGGCAAAAAGAATTAATTTTTCATGTGCTGCTGGAACAGCCTTTTGAAATTTCGGGAGTTTTTAAGGCAAATATGTTCCTGCATTGGAAATGATGCTGAACAGCAGGTGGGACTGAGCTAAATAGTGAGCCAGCAGCACGAGCTGCTCACTATCCAGCACGCAGCAATTTGAAACACCAAACTAAGCTGTCGAGATTTTCTCCCAGGGCAGGCACAGGCTTCATGTTACCAGCGCCAAATTATATTAGACATTTAATTTTAAACCTCAGGTACTTAAATGTAAAACCTTACAACAGTAATAGTCATAAAGCAGTGGGGCATTCCATTTCAGAGAATGGATTTTTCTATTTTTCCCCTTTAATTTAACCAGCACCTCCTGTTTTGTGGCTCTGCCCACTACAAAGTAATTTATCTAATTAGGAGATGTTCACAGCTGCTTGAAAGACAGAAGCCCCAGGAAACCAAAGGTCTGGTTTGGAAGACTTTGAAAAGTTCTCTGGAGCCACACAAAGTATTAATTTAATGTGAAAAAAAGGTGCAGAGAAAAATTGAATCCCAATATGTTATTTTGTCTACAATAAAACCACGTGACAATAAGCAGGCATATTCTCCAGTACATTGGCATTTGAATTCCAAAAGATGCTTAGCTTCTTGCCATACCTGCTGCTTTCACAGTATTAGCTTTTTATGACTAAAATTCAAAAATCTTTTAATGGAGAAAAAACCCCCAGAAATTAAAAAGGGTTTTTCATGCGTCAACTTGCCAACATAAAGGACACATCTCTGAGCTTACCCAAAGATGATACACTCAGAGCAATCAATTATTCTTGAGGTTTTTTAAGAGTTTTAGTGCAATACTTCTGAGTCTGGTGACCCTCAGTTGTCTAAAACTCGTTTTTAATCCAGTTTTCCCTCCATATTTATAAAAAAACAACCCCTCAATTTTTTTTTTTTAAACATTAGAACCTCTGCAAGAAATTATTTGAGGGAGGCTTCCTCACGAGTACCCACCAGTCACCTGTAATTTCAATATAAGGATTTCATAGGTAATTCTGGCTGTCGTCTCTTTTGAGCCAGAAGTAATCCCACATGTCAAGTCAGAAACAGGTACTGCACATGTGGGGGACTGCAGAGCTGGGGTGGGAGAAAAGGTTCCCTTTGCCAGGAATTGCAACCCAGCTGGGGATCAGCAGTAGGAGCAAAAGGCAAGTCTAGCAAACTGAGCACTTTGAAGTCAAGGGGATGGCAAAAGGCAGGAATTCAGGGGATATTTCTACTTTTTAAGATTCTATTTGCACGCCACTTGTAGGAGTTCACTGAATTTTGGAGGTTTTTCTCCCCTGCAGCCCCATTTGGGACATGTGGCATAGGGATGGCACCTGCTCACTGCCTGCAGGTGTGACAGGGTGCACAGGACTGCAGCCTACAGCTCCTGCTTTCCCCCTACAGCCAGCACTCAACATTCTTCACCTTGCCTTAGAAAAGCTGTAGGATAAAAGGCACAAAAAAGCCCAAACTTTGGTCTGACCTTTCAGAAGGGAGGTGGAGCTGGAGTGGATTAAAACGACCAAGCAGTTCAGGAAAAAGAGGCAGAAAATGTATGATTTTAAGTGGGAAACCAGCTCAGCCTCCATGCAGGGCAATGCTGCCTCCCCTAAAAGCCTAACCAGGAGTGGGTGAGCTGGGTGGACACAGAGGAGAACAGGGCTGAAGCATTTGTTTCACTGTGCTGCTTCACAACATCCCTGCCTTCCTGCAAGGCTCAGTCACAAAACTCTCAGGCAACATCTGGACCATTTTAATGAAAATTCTCCTGAAGGTGCTGCCCCCATGTTTGCAGCTCCAGGAAAAGGTCTCTGCTTTGCTAAGTATGAATTTGATAGTTAATGCCACTCTGAAACATGGTGATCATGATTTTAAACCCTCTGTTCTCCTAAGGTGGCACTAAAAACCTGTCCAGAGATGCTCTCAGGGCTATACTCAAATTCAGACCTTCTACAGAGATATATGTGGGACATGTGAAGTAGTTCCCACATTCCCCTAACTGTTCCCATTTTAGGGGCAGCCATCAGAAACAGCATTCCTCCCCTTTCTCCTGACCTATTCACCCTGGTCTGGTAGCAACCATCACATCTACCCTTTAAAAACAATTACTGCTACAACCTAATAATTCCAAAACACCACCAGGAATAGTGTCTGCTCCTTTTAATGCTGTTAAATGCTCCACAGAGGAAACACTCAGACTGTGCCAGGAGCATGCAGGCAATGGAGCAAGAGCACAGCAGAGAAAGGACAGGCTGAGGAGAAGATCTGAAGGGTCATTTACTGCTAATATCCATCACACAGGGCAAGGAATCTGAGTATCAAGAAAACAACACATATTATGTGGCTGCTCCATGCCTGGGAGTGTCCAGGGCCAGGCTGGACAGGGCTTGGAGAAACCTGGAATACTGGAAGGTGTCCCTGCCCATGATAGGGGAAGATGGGCTTGGAGGTCCCTTCCAACCCAGACCATTCTGGGATCCTATGATTATGTACCTGAAATTAAAATTAAGCAGTATTGCAACTACATTAGCTCTTCATGTTGAAAAAACAATCACAGAATTCTCTCAGTCTGCTCCAAGTCCCATCCAGCCTGGCCTTAGACACTTGCAGGGCAGCCACAGCTTCTCTGCAGGGCCTCACCATCCTCTCATGGAAGGATTGCTCCCTAATATCCAAGCTAAACTTCCTCTCTTTCAGTTTAAAGCCATTCCCTCTTGCCCTGTCACTCCGTGCCCACATAAAAAAAGTCAATGTTAAAAGTTAATCCATCCCCTTTTTTCTAATTCAGATTTTCCCCTCAGACTCTGCCAGCTCAGCACCCAACACCACAACGGCGTGGGCACCGTTTCATCTCCTTTTTTTTCCCCTTTTGGAAAACACCAAGAGCACCAAAGTCCCCCTTCACCCCAAGGCACCCCCAGAGCTCCAGGTTTCTTACCACTGCTAATGCCAGAGTTGGCAATGACTGTGGCCTCGCTCCACTGATCTGCACTGGAGACCGAGTAGGAGCGCTGGTGCATACCGTCCGGGCGGCTGTTGAAGGACACCAGACTGATCCCACTGGCCATCTGAGACACAGATGTGCTAGTAGTCACGTTCCCTAGGCACAAAGGGAAAACAAATCGTGTCAATAGAGAGCACACAAGGGATTTCGTGGCAGGATGGATGGGGGGGGTCTGAATGAGCAGAAATAAGGGGTTACTTCACCCACACAACGACCCGCCCTGAAGCGCAGGAGCTGACGGTCCTGAGACCAGCTCAAATCCAGCTAAGAAGACAAAAAAGCCAAATTTTTCATGGTGTCACCTCATTCTGTTCATTCACCTTCTGGGAAAAACAGTCTTCCACTAGTCTACTACCAGGCACACTCTCTGGAGCTTCTCTGCTTGTTAGACCGGCCACAGAAAACCAATTTTATTGTATTTGCTGGGAAATGTCCTGATGAAGGCAGGAATGAGGCATGTGACTCCATGTTCTCAGAAGGCACTTTGTAATACTATATTATATTAAAGAATATTATACTACACTAAAGAATACAGGAAGGATACTTATAGAATATTAAAAAGATAATAATGAAACTTGTGACTCTCTCCAGAGTCCTGACACAGCCTGGCCCTGACTGACCAATGAGTGAAAACAACTCACAGCAGAATGAAACAACTCACATTCAATGAAACAACCACCTGTGGGTAAACAATCTCCACACACGAGCACAACACTGAAGAAGTAAATGAGATAAGAATTGTTTTCCTTTTCCCTGAGGCTCCTCAGCTTCCCAGGAGCAAAATCCCGGGCAAAGGGATTTTTCCAAAGAATGTGAATGCTACATTGATTTATTCCTAAAAGCCACTGTTTACACAACTGAGCCAACTCCAAGAGTTTAAACAATCTGCTTCTAAATAATGCCTGACACAGGTATGTCCCCCAAGAACACAGTGATGGGGAGCAAAGGACTGCCAGCACTGAGAGACCAAGGGGGGAAAAAAAAACTTTCTTGGACATTTAATCTTAGAACAATGTCGTGACACAAAGCAGACATTGGACTGACTGCAAGTATCATTCCTGGGGCTGGTCCCAGGAATGTGACACAAAAGGGGACACACAAAGAACAGCCTTTACCCAGTAAACACTTCTGCATTTTCACAATCACTGAGGCCTAGGACATTAAAATGCTGGGAGCTGTGTGCAAGGGGGAGTGACAGCGACAGGTTTCTCACCATAAAACAGGACAAGTGGGATCTGGTTGAATACATTTTAGAGCAGAAACAATTAAAACCTTTCCAGAAATTCAGGTTTCTGATGGTCTTACTTACAACTTGCTATGGGCCAAAACCTGCTCCATAGTTTTGGGTTCTGAGCACATTTTACTCCATCCCTAGCAACAGGCCCTGCATATCATAAAGCCACAAAGAATTTACAGTGCCAGTTTCATTCCTTGTGGCAGGCTCTCTAAAGGTGCCCCACAGGTCCTCTCTGGATTGAAGAACACTCTTAAAAAACACATGCAAAGGGAAAGGAGCAGACGCAGTGTTATAACGCACCCTCACACTTTGCATTTCCATTGCACCTTCTACTGATGAGTTCAGAAAAATTAATGAATTAATTTTCAATGCTCCTGTGAGGTTGTTAATTATCTGCTATCATTTCCCCCATTTTTCAGAGGTTAAATGACCCAGGGCCACAAAGGAAGATTGTGGCAGACTTGAAAATAAAACCCAGATCTCCTGACTCCCAGTTCTATCATTATGTCTTTTCCCAGAGCAGCCTTTGGGAAGACAGCAGAGCTTAGTGAACTACTTTGTGTTTATTAGAGTTGGCATAATTGTCCCTTTCTCTCCTCCCCTTTCCCAAGACAAAATCTCCTCTTTAGTCCTTAACACAGATCCATGACAGTATCTGTGTCTTCAATGTTCCTCCCCTTTCCCAAGACAAAATCTCCTTAACACAGATCCATGACAGTATCTGTGTCTTCAATGTACTTACTCAGCCCTCCAGAACTTCTGCCTGGCAATCTCTGCTTTGCAGACATGAAATACATAGACAGAAAAACTCATTTGTTTCATTATGCAAAGAATAAGGTGGGTTTTGGAACCGTCTTGGGACCTCCCAAGGCATGAGACTACAGAGCAGAGGACTAAATTGCAATTCAGTACTGGAAAATCACAACAGAAAATGAAAACATGAGCTGACCAAAGTTGAATTTTGCGCTACCTTAAAAGAAATCTCTCCTTCCAAATCAGCTTCCATGATGCTCGCTTTGAAATCTCCTTTTCCTCTGCTTTTCACAATCCAGAAAAACAATGAATATTAATAAATTGTTTTGATGATCCACCAAATTAAAGGGAATGGCTGATGTGAGTGACAAGAGTTTGAGACCGAGGGGGTTCTACAAACTTGAGATTAAGGCCAGCACAGACACAACACAAGCAGTGATATTTTTATGCTGATATTTTTATCTTCTACCTAGCCCACAACCTTTGGAACACGAGGGTCCCATCACCATCTAACCATGATGCAAAACCAACACCGTGAGAAGAGACCACCAAGGTTTCTGTGTCATCATGTCAGCGCCAAAAGCTCTCCTCTCACCTTAATGCCATCTGAGGAAGCTCCAACCCCACGCTGTGACACAAACCTGTTGAGAAGTGTTCTGAGAAACAAAGCAGAATTTTTCTTCCACTGCACCTCTCTCAAAGCACAAAACAGGTGCCAAGTGCATTCATGTGACACGTGGCTGAACTGTGATGTACCCAGCCCAGCCCTCCCTTTCCTACTGCCACAGCCTGGTAATCTTCATCCTGCAACTTCTATGATAGTATTTAATCAGGATTAAATCCCACTTTGTCCAGGTGCTGCAAGGTGTGTATTTTCATGACATATCACACCATCAAGCCAGCATCCATGAGCAGACATCAGAAGGGCCAGACTATAGAAAATAGTGTGCCTTTCCTTTCCTGTTCCCCTCGTTGGTATGTTCAGCTCTAGCACAAACTTGTTACTTAGAAGCTCGTTTTAAAATAATTATTTTCCAATCCAGTGCTAATTCTTCCACTTCTCAGCGCAGCTGCAGGACATGAATCCCACACTAGGCACTAAAGCTGCCACCCCAAAACAAGGACTGCTGCTCTTGCCAGAGCTTCTCCAACAGTCCCACAGTTCTTTGCATCTACAATGAGCAAACCCCAAACCAGACATGGCAGAAGTCCTTTAATTTTCCTCAGGGATAAAGCCTGGACAGCAGAAACCACCTCAGCCTTCCAGCAGACAAGCAGGAGACAGTGAAGAAGAGGAGGCCAGCAGTATCAGTGAAAATGCTGGAGATGTCCCCCCCATGGCAGGGGGGCTGGACCAGATGAGGTTTAAGGGTCCTTCCAGCCCAAACCACTCTGTGGTTCCCTGATCCACGAACAGCAAAGCCTTTATGCTGGGTCAGGCACGTGAAGCCTCTACATCCTGCACCTCTTGTCCCCCCAGCCAAGGACAGATTCCCATCTTCACACAATCCCAAGCTCCTGCTCTGCTACCTGGGCCATGCTGGAGCTGTGAAAGAGTTGTCTCTTCAAATGCATCCTGCATGCATCAGCTGGTTGCTTAAGTTGATTAGCAGGGGGCAGTTAAATTACTATGCTAATCCATGTATTCTCAGCACTGTTTCCTTGATATGGATATGTGTATATGCTTACTGGGAAGCCTTGATTAGTTCAAGCTTCAATGTGTCAAAGGCTCCAGATTCTTTCCAAAGAATAATTTTAGCTGTACTCACATCCCTAAAGTGTGAGAGCTGATTTGAAAAGGTACTTACCTCTACCATATGCTATTTTTCTTTAAACAATTTGCATTTCAAAGGGAATATGGCATTTATATTTGAATGAATATCAGTATGTTGCCAGAACTTGTCTCAAATGAGCAAAAAAAAAGATGCTGGTCTCCTATTGAACAAAAATGTTTTCATCTACCAAAGGAGCATCAAAGAAAGAGTTCCTCTTTCTAGCTCTAGACAGCTTTATTAAAACTATCTTTTCTGATGTTATAAAACACCCCGTTACGGCCGCGCTTACAAAACGTTCAAACAATTAAGCCCCACAAAACCCATCCAAATTAAGATTCAAGGTAATTTCCAGGTTCGGCCACTGCTCAGCAGACGAGCCCCTAAGAAAAGTGAGCGTGCTCACACAAAATCCCATTTAAATACCCATTTATTCAGTGTCAAACGCTGCACGAGGAATTAAGCCAAGGAGAGTGGAGAAGCTGAGGGAAACACACACGGGGGCAGAAGGAGAACAAGGGAGTCCCTCTGGCTCCTCACACACAGCCCTTCAGATTTCCAAAACAACAGAGCAGAAATGCAAGCCTTAGGAATGAAATTAAAATAACCAGGACTCATACAAACACAGGTGGACAAGATGTGAACAGTGTGTGTCTAGTAGGTAAAAGCCAAAAGATAAAGGGTCCATTGTAAAAAAGGTATTAAAATATGCAGTGAAGGTTAATATAAATGCTGGCTTACTTATGTGCAGTGACTTGTCCAACAAAAAATAAACCACTCATGGTTTTGGTCATGTCTGCTCCTCTAAGGGACCAGTATGAGGGACAGCATGCCTGCGATCCCTCTTCTGCTGGTTTTCAACTTAATAATCCTGTGAATCATCACAGGTTAGCAGAACAGACACATCAGTTCAAGCCTTCACCAACTACACCCCCCACGAATTACAGATGCAGAACGAATACAATTCACAAGCAGACCCTGAGAAGTGAGATACAAGTGACACAAACGATACTGGGCACAAATGATTTCCATTCCCCGCTGCAGACACATCTGTGCTTCCCTCCAAACAAATCAGCTACCAGAAGTTACACTCACAAGTGCAACTAATGCACTCCTGGATTTATGAGATGAGCAGCCAGAGCAGGAGTTGTGAAGCAGAACTGTATTTTTCCATGAAGCAGCAGCGTGTGAGACTTGCAGGGGGCTGCACAGAAAGACTGAATCAGATAAACTGCGGCCCTACTGCTCTGCTTTCACCATGTTTCACTCGTGCCAAGCTCCTCATGCTCATGACGAGTTTCTCTTCCAGAAAAAAAGAGAAAAAGATAAGGAAA